CACTGGGAGTGGAGAAAAGATTAAATTGGGAGACCAACAGACAGTTCGGGTGAAGAGTTGGTGCCTGTTTGGACAGAGGAGTCTAGGATGATGGCCAGATTTCAGCCAGGTTTAGACACACTGGACTTGAGGTGCAAATTGAGACTGGGTAGGTTGGGTGGTCAGTAGGCAGTTCCAAGTCTGGAGCCAAAACATTCCCTAAGACCACAAGGGGGCAGCACGTGGCTTTATTTTCTAAGCACTTGCGCTTAGAGCCTGGCCCAGTGTATACCCACGCCAGCCCCCTGGACATCCTGTCTCCTCCTCTGACTGTGCCCCAGCTCTGGGACACTAGGTAGGGATGCCCAGCAATGTGGAAGTCCCTCAGGGAACACCACCCAATCCAGCCACCCACCAGGAGTTACTTATGTGGCCATCAGGTGCCCAGCGCAGCAAGCGCATCTGGGCTGCCCAGGAGCAGCTCACAGCCCAGAAGCTGGCTCTCTTCTTGCCCCAGGGGAGCAGCACCAGGCTCTCGGGGTTAGAAGCTTCTTGCGTAGGGACACTCTTCGCCAAGTTACCAAGGAGTCCACTGGGGAGCTCTCGCCCTGATTGGCTGCCGGGCCAGTGGCCTTTGCTCTTTCCTGAGCCGGGTGGTATAACAGCCTCCTGCAGGAGCCCACCAGGTGTGTGCGCTGCGCATTGGGCCTGGCAGGGAACCCAGCTGTCCCGCCAGGGGTGCTGTGACACCATGGCTGGGGAGGTCCGGGCAGGTGGGGACACGGTGCTGAGGCGCCTGCTGAGGCTGCACCGCACGGAGATTGCAGTGGCCGTGGACAGCGCCTTCCCGCTGCTGCACTCGCTGGCTGACCACGATGTCATCCCTGAGGACAAATTCAAGGTGGACCTTTGATCCCCTATCCCAACCACGTGCTAAGGGATGGAGCCTGGGGCTGGTTCCCTGTGGACCCTTGACCCAGATCCCCAGCCTCCCCACTCCTTTTCTAAGCTGGGTGTGGTCCCATGAAGGTTATTGCAGGCGGGACCCCTCCCAGCCCCCACCTGCCCTGTGCCACCCCATCCCCATCCACAAGCCAGCCCCAGCACCCTGAGCCTTACCTGGAACCTGGAAGGCTCCCCAGAACTTGCTCCAGCCCCCAGCAGCACTGAACCCACCCCAGGGAGGGGGACCTCTGCACCAGGTCTTGGCTGCCAGCTCTCCCGAGGGGCAGCAGTCAGGCAGGGTCCCCACACAGCTGTTGCCACAGGAGACACTGCGGCTGAAGGAGAAGGAGGGCTGTCCTCAGGCCTTCCACGCCCTCCTATCCTGGCTGCTGACCCAGGACACCACGACCATCACCGATTTCTGGAGGGTCCTCTTCAAAGACTACCACCTGCAGCGGTATGGTGGGCTGCGGCCCATCCTGGAGAGCTTCCCAAAAGGTGGACTGGGCAGGGCCAGGGTGGGGGTACGATGGGAGTAGGAGGCATTTGGGAGGTGCTGGGAGGCTCCCTAGGACCTTTAGGTCCTACATTACAAAGAGCAGAGGCTTCAACCACCTTACCTGAGGGTGTCCAGTTCTGGGTCCTTCTCACTCCCTGCCCAGAAAAGGCTGTGAGCTGGACACCCCGCATCCTGCAGATGTGGACCTTAGCCAGCCTCGGAAGGGAAGGAAGCCCCCCAGTGGCTCTAAGACCCCTGTGCCACCACCCAGACATCCCACCAAGAGGAAGGCCCTGGAGGAGCAACGAGCCACCCCACCAGCAGCCCTGACCCCAAGGAGCACCCCAAGCCCAGGTACCAATAGGAGGAGCCCACCAAAGCCACAGACCCCCTTCTTTCACTCTGGGGCCAACACCACTCTATGCAGGTCCCTAACTCACGGGCTGGGCTAGGCACCTGGCCTCTTCTGCCCAACTGCCAGAATCCCAGGTGGGGAGGAGGCTGGATAAAATGGCCCAGGTGGGGTTTTCCTGTTTCTGACAACAAAGGGGTCCACGTGGAACCTGGGAATCCCAGTACCCATTCGACCCGGTGCCCTCCAGCCAACTGCACCCATCACCCCTCTGCAGGCTCCCAGCTGAAGGTCAAGCCCCCCAAGAAGCCAGAGGGCAACTTGGAGGTTCAGCGCCTGCCCCTGGGGAATGGTGAGTGGGGGCATGGCTGTGGGCTGCAGGAGCCTGAAGTGCAGGGATCTGTCCTATTCTGGGGTCTCACTGGTCCTGTGGCACAGCTAGACCTGGGGAAGAGGGGCTACCTTGTCCCAATAGGATCCTGTCTTCACCCTCACCACACGCCTCACTCTGGACACTTCTTTCGGGCCCCCACCTCTGCCCCTGCAGATGGTCCTGTCCTCAGGAGCCCAGATGCTATGCCAGATTGCCCCTTTTCCACTCCCCCGTCCCTGCAGCTCCTGACCCCACAGGCCTATGCTCCCTGGGGCTCCTCAGTGCTGGGAACTCTGTGCCCCACAGTGCAATACTGGGCCCAGGTCACTGGGGGCACACTCACATGCATGCACACACCTTTCCTGCATGTGGGCACACAGGCATGCACAGTGCCCCTCTGTTCTCACCTGTGGGATTTGTTCTGGGATGGGACTGAGTCCCCCAGCCAGCAGGAGAAAGGATTCCATGGCTCAGGCCGTACCCACTCCTGCCTGATATCTGCCTTGATGCCCACTGGTGTAGGGGCCAGGAACCCTCTTCCCAGCCAGTGACCCCTACTGGGGCTGTCCCTTCTCCAGGAGTTCAGACCATGTCAGCTTCTGTTCAGAGGGCGGTGGCTGTATCCTCAGGGGATATCGCTGGAGCCCGTGGGGCTGTGGAGGGCATCCTCATCCAGCAGGTGTTCGAGTCAGGTGGGTGTACAGGTGGGGACTGGCTTGCCCCCAGCTGGGAGGAGAACCCTGCCCTTTACTCTCTGCTGGCTCCAGAGCAGACAGCAAGGCAACCTCAGGAGAGGGGGTGACAGTGGTGTGACCTTGCTGGGGGTCACACCCCGAGGAAGTCCTGCATCTTTGCTCTGACCTTTTGGGTGTGCTCTCCACTCCATTGGCCTCAGATTCCCTGCCATCTCCCTCTACACCTGGTTTCTGGTTCCTTCCACCCTGGCCTTGGGATCCAACTCTTCTGACGACGTGCAATCACCAGTGTCTCTGACCAGCCCCAGCAGGGCTGCTGGCAACTAGGCATCACACACCACTCTCTGCCAGTGTTCCCCCTGTACTGGACACAGGCTGGGGACACCAGAGACAGCCACGTGGGACCTGAAAGCTACTGTCAGCCCTGCTATCCCCTAATCATGGGTAGTTCCAAAGACCCTGCATGGCTGTCCTTACACTGCTGCACCGAACTGCCCCAGACTGGGTGGCAAGCAGGTGCTCGACTTGAGGCAGGGACAAGCAAGGCACCTCCCTCCCTCCTTCCTGCTCTGGTGCTGCCCCATTCTGTGCTCTTGCTGTGTGGCAGGGTGCCCTGGCTCTGATCTCTATCACCCTCCCAGTCCTCTTTTATAAGGACACCAGACACTAGATTTTGGGTCCAGCATGACTCCCCCAGATCCAATTCCATCTGCAAAGGACTGGGGGACCCCACAGATTGGTGGAAATTCTCTTTGCACCCAGTACTGGGCCCATGCCTGCAGCAGTATTGAGGGTGGCTGATTTTGTTTTTTTTTCTTTTTCCAGTTCTGGGAATTGAACTCAGGACCTTGCACTTGCCAGGCAGGCACTTACACCACTGAGCTATCTCCCTGGCAGGAGGGTGGTTGGGAAATGCAGATTATCTCTGCCTGAGAGCAGCACTGCAGGAGTGGGGAGAGACCAGGGTGTTCCCCAACATCTCCTCCCAGGGGGCTCCAAGAAGTGCATCCAGGTTGGAGGAGAGTTTTATACCCCCAGCAAGTTCGAAGACTCTGGCGGCAGCAAGAACAAGACCCGAAGCAGTGGTGGGGCCCCAAAACCTCTGGTCCGGGCCAAGGGGGCCCAGGGCTCTGCCCCTGTAAGTGTTGCCCTACCCAGTCCTGGGAGGCCCCCAGCCTGGGCATCTGTCTCCCTGCTATGACAGTGCTGCCCCTTACTGTCCCCATTGCTGACCTCCCTCCAGGTTGGAGGAGAGCCACGGCTCGGCCAACAGGCCAACATCCCTGCCAATGCAGCCCTTGCCAGTGAGCCCCAGTCCCACCAGGTAATGAATGACCTGCATGGCACCACGGCCTCTACCCTGTTCTGGGCACTCGGTGCCTGGAGAGCCTGTCTTCCCTCTCCCTCTTCTTCCTCACCCTGGAAATTGCTTTTTTTCTGATGATCTACAGTTGTAAACTTTCAAGAAACATGGAAAAAATGAAGTTTTCTAGGGATTTGAAACTATAGAGTTCAGCCCAGATTATATGGGCCTCTCTCTGGGCTGGGCTCTGGAGTGAGCCAGTCCTGGAGAGTCCCCGGGGCCAGCCAGCTTGTCCTGGTCTCAGCACTGTCTCTGGAGGAGGTGGAACTGCTGTGGCCTGCGCCTGGGCAGGACCCAGGTGGGCAGGGGTCAGGCAAGGTGGCAATGGGGTCTGTGGTTGTGGCTCAGGTCCAGCCCTGCCTGGCAATCCAAGGACCCCTGAGAGCATGGTGGGCACCATCTGGGGAGAGACGCGGGTAGGGTGGAGGCTCAGGGAGGGGACAACAGGTGCCTGTGGCTGATAGGAGGCACCCTGGCCCCAGCCTTCTTCCCTGGAGGGCTGGCCTGGCAGCTCTGTCAGGGAGGTTGTGGGGGAAGGATCTGGCCCGGCCTGCAAGGGGTGCAGCTGGGGTCTGCACAGCACAGCCCACTCTGGGTCTGCATGGGCTCTGTCTCTTGCTCAGAAGAATGAGGATGAGTGTGCCGTGTGCCGGGACGGTGGGGAACTCATCTGCTGTGATGGCTGTCCCCGGGCCTTCCACCTGGCCTGCCTGTCCCCACCCCTGCGGGAGATCCCCAGGTGAGCAGCATGTGTCACCTGCACATCCCCTGTGCCAAGACCTCCCCAGGGCTGCCACCTCCCACCAAGCCTTACTGAGCGGAACCCAGGAGGTGCTGGCTGGGAGCAGAGGCCATGGAGGTGCATACTCCAAGCGCCTATGGGAGCCCCAAGCAGGGCACAGGTCCCCTCCCCATCCTGTCCTGGGGCCTCCCGTCTACCCTCCAGGCCCAGAACACTGGAGGAGGGGATTGGAGGGACCCAGGGGCTTGAGTTTCATGGGCACAGGGGCTGCAGGAGGCGGGGCTGGCGAGTGCATGTAGGAGATAGTAGGGTCGAGCTCTGCCACTGCTGCCATGACCAGGATGAGGAGCCATAGCTCCTTCGCCGTCCCCTCTGAGGCTATCACTCCCGCGCCCACTCCTCCTTTTAGCCTGTCTTCCCTGCTTCTGTGCACTAGGCTGTCTAGCCCGGGGAGGGGTAGGCCCATGACAGGCAGGCAAAGGCCATTGTGGGTTACTGGGCATGGGGAGTTGGTGAGCACACTGGGGAAGTGTGGCCCAGGGGCACTGGCCATGCTGGCCATCCTGGACTCTCCACTCATTAGCCCTTGTGGCCTAACTTATTCCTTGCCCAGGCCTCAGTTTCCCCATCTATGAGGGAAATGGTGACACAGAGGAGTCCCATTCCTGGCGGGTCTGTGGTCTATTGTCTCCACTTTGTCTTACATGCCTGTGACCGTTAACAATGGGAGCAGTGGAACCTGGAGGTGTTCATGCTGCCTGCAGGGGAGAGACCAGCAGGCCCTGGGCCAGGCCCAGGAATCCCGGCTCCCAGAGCCACCTGCAGAGATCCTGGTATGCAGTCCTCCCCTTGGCTGGGTCACCTTCCTGTCCTGTCTGCTCTGGAGTGTTCCTTCCTGGCCATGTCTTCCTGCTCAGTCCCCTCACTATGTGAGCCCAGCCTAGGGCTTCCTGCAGGGTGTGAGGCCTGCCTCAAATGGTCCCCTCTACTCCACCCTGGCCCAGGGGATGGGCTGTGGCCACTGCTAGCCTTCTCCAGCATCTAAGCTTATGTTGTGGCACATGCTCTATTCTATGCCATGTTTGCCCTGACAGCCCTGAGGCCACACGCTCCTTTAGATGCAGAAAGGGCCACTGCGGCCTGGCCCTGCATCCTGCCTACCGGTCATTCTGCCCACTGGGCTGCTCAGCCTTTCCAGTGCCGCCCAGTGTGGCCACTCTGCCCCACACTTGCCCTCCCCCAGCTCTGAGTTCCACATCCTGGACTCCGGGCTATGCTGGGCAGCGGCCCTGCAGTCCTCTGACAACTCACTCTGGGTTCCAGGTCCTCCAGGGGCCTCAGGCCTCTGGTGAGGATGTGAGGGCCCTGCCCAGGGAACCCCACTCCGACCCTACTATCTCCTACACGCACTTGCTGGCCCCACCTCCTGCAGCCCCCCTGCCCCTGCTGGAGTCCTCAGTTCTGCGTCCCCTGCTGAGTGCCGTCCCTGAGGGGCAGCAGGTAAGCTGGGCAGGCAGGGCCAGGGTTAGGGTGCTGTCACAGTTCAGGACCTCAGGAGCTGGGATAAAGTGGAACAGGACGGCCTGCTGGGCAGAACAGGTGCAGCCAGATGAGCTTCATGATCTGTAGGTGTGAGGCGAGGGATGAGGAGCTTGGGACTGCGGCAGAGCTCCCAGAAGTGTCTGTGCCTCTGTGCGAGTGTGTAGCTAGAGTGGGGGTTGCTGGTAGCTTCCACCAGGCCCACACATTCTTCTACTGTTTGGAAACCCCCAGCCCAGCTCCAGCCTGGGTTTTACCCCAACCTCAACCCTGATTTAAATCAGGGCAAAGCCAGGGAGGGTTCAGCAAATTGGGAGCCCCTTGCCCTGTCCCTGCTCCCTGCTCCCTGCTCATCAGGGGCAGCACAATTTGGGCCGAGCTCCTGGGGCCTCTGAGCCCATGGGCTCTAGCCTGTGGCTTTCAGCAGGTGCAGTGTGGTTCCTGGATGTCACCAGGGAGGTGGTATGGTGCAAAGGGTGTGGGTTCCATGCCCAGGTCCTGTGCCCCAGATCACCTGTGCTGTGCCCTGCAGGGCCGGGCACCTGGTGCGCGGTGTGGGGTATGCGGGGATGGCACCGACGTGCTGCGGTGCACATACTGCGCTGCTGCCTTCCACTGGCTCTGCCACTTCCCGGGGGTCACAGCGCGGCCAGGGTGAGCACTGAGGGTGGGGAGGTGCCGGACTAAACCCCACATCACCCCTGCCTGGCCCAGGGTCCCTTGTGCCACCCAAGCCTCTTGTCTTCCCCCAGGACTGGCCTGCGCTGCAAGTCCTGTTCCCTAGACCGAGACCCCACGGAGGCAGCACCTGCCTCCAGCACTCCATGCAACCCAGGGCAGCCCAAGGTCAGTATAGGACTCAGAGATCCTAGGGTCTGAGGGTCCTGGGGGGCTGGGGGAGCACATCTCTTCTTTTCAGAATTTCAATCTAAGCCTCCTTGCTCTATTTAGAAGGCCACCAGGACAGGAGGCAAGGGGGTCCCAGTCAGGCAGCCCTGAGCTCTGTGCCCGATCTTCCCATGACCTGGAGCCCCAACCCCAGCCCTGCCCCATATGCAGGGACCCACTTCAGTTCTCCAGGGGGACCTGGGCTGGGTCAAACCTTGCCATCTCTGGGTTCCAGGTGGATGACAGCCAAGCTGGACAAGAGCCTGTCCTGCACCGGGAGGACCTGGAATCTCTCCTAAGTGAGGTACAATGTCACAGCATGTGGGCCTTGTGTCAGTCAGCACATGGGGCGCTTTAGTCAGAGGGCTCCTCAGGGATAGAAATCAGGGCCACAGCTTTGTGGTTTCTTCAGGGGGCTTTTGGTCCTACCCACCATGACTCTACTCTTCCTGGTGCCCCTGCATCCCCAGGTTCTCAGCATTAATGCCAGGTAGTTAGAGCCCTGACTTCCTCCTGGGCAGCCAGCCCAGGTTCCTATATCTGCCCCCCTCAGGCCATCCACTCCATGATGGACAGGTGGAGTTGTCCAGAGGACAAACTCTTCCAGTGCTCCACACCACAAGTGGCTAACACGTGTCCTCTTTCATATCCAACATGGCATCTCAGGGGGCCCGCTGACCACAGGGCCCATCTCCAATAGGACAGCTGTCTCTAGAGACCCCAGGGTCTAAAAGAGGCAGCTGCCTCAAGGCCTGACAAGAGTGTTAGAGGGTTGGGGTGTGAGACAGATAGTTGGAAAACTGGAGACCCTGATGAACCTCAATTCTGTTAGACAGGAGAGTCAGACTTCAGAGCAGGAGGAGAAAAAAGCCTCCCAGGACAAGGCCACCCAAGGGACAGATGGGCCAGGGAGCTACACCGTGTGGGTGCTGTGGGGAGTGCTGGCCAAGGCATCCACCTGAGTGATGTCCTGTGTGTCTATTTCCCCTTGAGTTAGTGTTAAGTGGAGTGGTGTTTTGGGGTTACCGGTCCTAGTCCTGTGGATGCAGGTGGGGTGCCTGTCAGGTGTGACTGAGCCTAGCTCCCCACAGCACTCCTTTGATGGCATCCTGCAGTGGGCCATCCAGAGCATGGCTCGCCCGCTGGCTGAGGCACCGACCTTCTCCTGACCGAAGCGTGGACTCTGACCCATGCTCACATCCTCGCTCCTGGAGAGCCCTGCACGCTCTCTCTGGTGCCCACCACTCCTGCAGACACCCACGGGGTGGGAACCTGATACCATGTGTGCTCTGAAATTAAAGTCACTTCTGGTGTTCAATGTGCTATGTTTTGGGGTTTGGTACACCAGGTGCTGCAGCCCAGCCTGGTCTCCCATGTGATGGGAAAGGAAGAACTGGTGCAGGAAGTGCTCTGTGCCCTGGGGTGGCACCAGGGTCCTGGCTGTGGTGGCCAAGGCCCCATAAGAGTCCAATTTCCCCCCAGTAGTCTGGATCAATCACTCCCACCAACACTGTGACTCCCTTTTCAGCTGGTTTCCTCAGAGGCATGAGGAGGTCAAATTGCCACAGGGAAGTCTTAGCTGCCAGTTCAATGGAATCATCATTGTGCTTCCTGGTACAAGCCTCCCCCCTCTGCAGCTAAGACTTCTAGGTGCCCAGAGCACAAGGTTATAGGAACAGAGAACAAAGATTTTGTTAGCAAGTTGCTGAGGGTAATGGTGAGTGTGGCATTCCCACTTCCACCCTTCGACTCCTGGACCCGTGAATCTGGGCTGTGGGAGACACTGTGCCATATTACTGGTGCGGATTCAAGCCGTATGCAGCCTTCAGCCTTGCCCCATCCCCGCAAGCTACTTCCACCTAGCTGGTATTGCCCTTGTATCTTCCAATGACCATTCTGCCCATCTGCCCATCTGGCTGCTTCTGGAGGGTGGGCAAGTGGTAAGACCAGCATGAGCCCATTGCCACACTGTGTTGGCTGTAAAGGGCACCCCTTAATCCAGAGCAATGCTACTGCTGGGCATAGGAGGCCGAGGGAAGAAGATTGCAATGGGTTTGAGGTCAGTCTGAGCACCTAGTTAATTCAAGGTTACCCTGTCTCTGCACCGCCACTCCAAACTCCACAAAATAAGTAAAAACCCTGTCTCTAAAAATAGTGGAATTCTGAGTAACTGGGGGTTAGGGTGCCACAATACAGAGATTTGGGGCAGGGTGGGGAACAGCATCTTCTGGACCACTCTTCACTTGGCCTAGACCTTGGGCTCTGTCCTTGGCCCTCTTGGTTCAGTTTTTCTGATTTCCCTCCAGCTGACCAGCTTCATCCTGCCCACCCTGAGAGCTGACCTGATCCTCCAGGGATCTGTCCAGTCTGCTTAGCCCCAGTCCCCACCTATTCAGTCTCCTCCTGATCCTGCATGATAGACTCCAGATCTTGTGTATGGTGAGCAGAGAACTGTGAGCGTACATGCAGTGGTAAAAGAAAAAGCAGCTGCAGTTATTGGAGCTTATGGGGAAGGTGGGCTTGAATTTCTGCCAGTAGAAACAAAAGGGTGACAGAACTGGAAAGGTGGCACCAGGTTGCAAGGGAGGAGGAAGCACCAAGATAAATCAGGTTTTCAGAAGTGATGTGCACTCATCCCGGGGCCTGTCAGGGGGTCTGTAGATATGACTGACGGATGTGATGGACAGGCGCTGTGCCAACCTTTAGCACAGGTTGAGTGGGGCAAAGTGAAGATCAGCCCACAGGGTCTAACACAGGTGCTCTGGCTGGGCACTTTAGCAATTTCCTGGGTCTTTGGTATTCTCATTTCTGCTTCTCTTGGGATGCTGGAGGCAAGCTTGGGCCTGGGGTGCTGCCCAGATTGAGGTGGATGGAGGGGGTGGCTCCTACTGTGTATCTGTGCCATTCCCAGTGATGCCCCCTCCCCCCATTGCCCCACTTGTTCTTGCTGGATTGAGAGCTGAGCTCCCTGTCTTCTATGGCCAAGTCTTCCTGAGAGCAGTCCGTCTTGAATAGCCTGCCCTAATCCTCCCATCTATTTATTTTGAGACAGGGTCTCACTATCTGTGTAATCTCAGTTGGCCTGGAACTCTCATTTCTCTTGCTTCACCCTCCCGAGTGTTGAGATTACAGATGTGCACCGAGGCAGGAGATTAAAGTGGGGCAAAACCACCTGGGGAAGTAGGTGTGACTTCCAAGTACAAAATCCCAGGATGCCTGTGCAGGGCAGTACTCAAAGCCCTGCCCACTCTCGGCAGAGAGATCTGTGTTCAGGTCCTCCCTGGGAACTGGACAGGTTTTCCACGGGGGCCTGGGCCTGGCTGCAGCCTGGGTGAGACACACAGGAGGGCAGCACAGAGCTCGGGCTGCTTTGTTCTGTGGCACCAGGGCCTGCTCCGACACTGTGCTGTGTGCCTTCCCTACTTCTCTTGGTTCTAACTTCTCTGCAGGGCCTGTTTCTTTTCCTCCCTTTAATAAATGCAAAACTTTGCTACCTTTTTTGCTTCTGTTGAATTCTTTGCTCAGGACAGAAAGAACCTAGTAGCCACCTTGAGAAGGAGGCCAGCACACAGAACCTGGTAGCACTGCCAGGCCTGGCTTTGCTTGGGTGTCTTTTGCAAGTGCCTTGCATCCTTTTTCATTAGCAGGGGACACGAGACAGCTCTGACCCCTACCCCAGCAGTTCTGTCAGTTAGAATGCTGCCTGAGCCTCAGGCATCGGGAATGGAGATCGCTAGAGGTCTATCAGTCTTACCTGATGGTCCTCCCTGGGATCATCAGGCTCTGCCCAGGTCCTAGGGGAGAAGCAGTGTTGACAAAAAGGATTTCAGGAAATCATCAAGATAGCAAATCAGGGCTGGAATGCTTGGCTGGAAGCTTGATCAGATTAAATGAATTCCGCATTCTTCACAGACCCACCCTGTAAGCAAAGTGCAAATCGCCCAACTGTTAACCTGGTGATAGGGACAGTTTTAAAGGAGGTCTTGACTCATCCTATGAATTCTCAGGGACCTGGGACTTGTGGTGACCCCAGCTGAACCCCTCCTCCAGGGTCCACTGCTGCCCTCCTGTCGGTGTCACAGGGAATCCAGGGATAGGCCCACATGATCACTCAGTCACTGAGACCACCCCCTTCCTGTCTGCGGCTGTTCCCACCAGCTGTCCATTTCAGCCCAGCTTTGAGCTGCACAGTGGGGGGGGGGGAGCCCGAGGGAGGAGCCAGCTGGTCCTGCCCCGCCCGAGGACGCAACTTCAGCCCCATCTCATTCCTTCTCGCCGCCTCCTGCAGGTTGGGCCAGGGCCCCGGTGTTCATCCTGCCTTCGCTTTCTGCTGCCCTCTGACACGCAGGTGGGCACAGCATCTGCCGCAGTGAGAGCCCAGCGCCACCAGAGGGCGCGCAACCGCATTCACCGAATTTCTAGAACTGAAAATATTTATTTATTTAGTTTATTGAGAAACAAATAGTAATGAGACAGTTTCAAAACAGGACAATAGGACAGTTATAACAATTAATACATTGCATATTGTTGTCTTCGTAGTAGTTACTCATAGCACAAGATGCATACATGATATCCTGTCCAAACACTACTAGTACAAATCTTACTTCTCATTGAATTAAGAGAAAGTAGCTGTATATCTATCCTAACTAGATACCTCATCTATTTTTTTTTTTTTTGGCAGAACCGGGGATTGAACTCAGGCCTTTGCGCTTGCCAGGGACTCTTATTCTACTGAGCCATCTCCCAGGCCCTAGAACTGAAAATAAGCAGACATTTTTAAAAAAAGTATATCTTTTTAAAATATAGTTTCATTTTAAAGAAAAAAACCCTGGACATGGTGGTGAACACCTGTAATCATAGCCAGCTCTTGGGAGGCTGAGACAGGAGGACTGCTGCGAATTCGAGAGCAGCTGTGGGGGAAGGGGGAAGAGAGAGAGAGCAAAACAAAATTTCAAAACAAGATGATAGCAAGACAACAATGGTTAATACAGTGTGTATTGTTGCACAGAGTACAAGATATCAGCATTTAGTTGTCCAAACAATATTGAAACAAAGTTTTCTTTTCAATGAACTAAGCGAAATTAGTAGTATAACTTTTATTTTATTTATATTTTGTGGCACTGGAAATTGAACTCAGGACCTTGCACTTGCCAGATGTGTTTTATGCTGCTGAGCTATCTCCCCAGCCCCTAGTATAACTATTTCAAATATTTCATACACATATATATATTTTCCCCCATGTCTTTTCCCTTCTTCCTTTTCTCCGTTCTCTTAACCCCCAATCCAGTTTCTTTCTTTTTATTTTTAAAATTTATTTTTTTAAAGGCTTTCTTTTTTTTTTTCTTTTCAAAGTTTTATTAATAAACATATAGCAATGAGACAGTTTCAAATCAAATCGAAAGTACGGTTTCAAGAAATAATACACTGCATATATTCTTCTTAGTGGTTAATTGCTGTACCAGATGCAGACTTGTGATCCTACTTACA